GGGTCAGCTGTCCTGGCTGTGCCCCCTCCCAGCTTCTTGTGCACCTCCAGCCTTCTCAGTCGGTAGAGCATGGGAAGCTGAAAAGTCCTTGGTTTAGTGTAAGCACTACTTGGCAACAACTAAAACATTGGTGTGTTATCAACTTTGTTCTCATCCTAAATCCAAAACACAGCACTGTACCAGCTGCTAGGAAGGAAATTAACTCTGTCCCTGCCGAAACCAGGACAACAGTTTGGAGGAAACATTAAATCCTGGGCAAACTCTGATCCCTTTATTTATTTGAAAATTCATGTACAGACTTTAAATTTAAAGCAATTAAAAGAAATGTCAGCCAGGACCTATAAATCCCTTAATGCAATGTAATACTCGAATTATAACCATTCTAATCCTTGCAATATAAACATTTTGGTGGGAATTCAACCCACCATCTACATAAACACCTGTGAAGCTGAAAAGTCCTTGGTTTAGTGTAAGCACTACTTGGCAACAACTAAAACATTGGTGTGTTATCAACTTTGTTCTCATCCTAAATCCAAAACACAGCACTGTACCAGCTGCTAGGAAGGAAATTAACTCTGTCCCTGCCGAAACCAGGACAACAGTTTGGAGGAAACATTAAATCCTGGGCAAACTCTGATCCCTTTATTTATTTGAAAATTCATGTACAGACTTTAAATTTAAAGCAATTAAAAGAAATGTCAGCCAGGACTATAAATCCCTTAATGCAATGTAATACTCGAATTATAACCATTCTAATCCTTGCAATATAAACATTTTGGTGGGAATTCAACCCACCATCTACATAAACACCTGTCCACACCTCTTCACCATGTGAAATCCATAGCAGTGCTATGCAAATAAGATGAGAAAGAATTGTCTTTCATTTCCACGTATTTCTTCTCTTTGTGGTTTCGTTACCACCTATTTTTAAAGAAATACATGGAGATGTTTACAAGATCTTGTTAAAACAGTACAAAAAATGTCAGCAGAATGAGTTCCAAGGTAGCAGTAGTTTTCTACCACACACCAAGCAAAGAAGAGCAAATTAAGACACAAATCTTGTTATTAAAATGCATCTGTAAGAGTATTAGCTCTGAACAGAATCCAGCATCCTATTCAATAGACGTTCTAAGCAGAAAAACAACAGAAGCTCATCACTGCAGATATTAATAGTTTCCTGCATATACTCATCCACAAAATGTCTTGATCTTTGAGCAGCAAAAGTAGTGCAACTTACTTCCTTATGAATTTATTGTACCCTCCATCTCCCAAACTCCTCCACTGCAATACTCCCACTTTCCCCTGTGACTAAGACAACGTTCAGGCCCTCATCCCCTCACCTTCATTTTTGGGGTTCCCCACGAAAGCCAGACCCAGCTGAGAGCAGCACACGTGCTCAGCGATTTGGTTCATGCTGCAAAGTTGCTATTACCAAGAAAAAGAGCCCCGTGCTGAGCTGGCAGGTCTCTCCTCGAGCACCAGCACTAGTAGGACCTCTCTATGTCACCCAGCCTCTGATTTTCCACACGGATATAGCATGAACCGCAGAGAACCGGAGTCCTCAGCATGCTCCTGCTTCTGGCTGAGAGGCCCAATGAGGAGCTGCAGGCACCATACCCAAAATGTGATTTACAGACACCAAAGAAAGCGTTGTTTTCTTCTAAGAGGCCCACAGGGGACGGGTGGGCTGTCAGAGGCTTTCCCAAGCACGGACACCGCTGGGATTTCTGCTCTGGCTGGAGCCCAGCCTGGCACCCCCAAAACCTCCCCATAGTTACAGCTGCCACGACCTTCTCTACCGCCTGCTTTCATGTCCCTCATCATTTGGGGGTTGAACGCAATAAATTTAGTGGGTTTGCTACCAAGACAGCGGAGGGAAGAGTGCTAGTGGCTGTGAAGAAACCGCTTTGGCAGGGTAAGCCTCAGGCCAGGCCGGTCCTCAGTGACCGGCCACCGGCAGTGGTCACTGGCAGCCCCTTTGGGGAGGTGCCGTACCTTGCAAGCCAACGCTGATTTTCTTCAGGAATACATCTGGGTCGGGAAAAAATGCGATCACAACTAAGCCACCGCACTCTAACGCGGCTTGAGACCTGCCGGATGAGGCGCCGGGAGGGAGGAGAGCGAGCCGTGCTGTCCCTGTCGGGGGGAGGACTCGAACCCGCAGCTCTTGCTCTCCAGCATTGCGCGCCAACCCACAGAACCCGAGCACACCACGTGACACCCCTTCCCCCCCGCCGCGTACTGCCAGCACTTCCGCAAACATCGCGGTGGCTGAGTGACAGGGGGCGGCGGCCAATCGCGGCGCGTGGGGCGCCGGGGGGCGGCAGTCTCTCCTCAGCGGCTCCAGCGCTCGGCCGCGGGAACGTTAACGGTAAAAGTAACGGCTGCTGCGCGAGCTGCTGAGGGACGGGACGGGACGGGACCGGGACGGGACGGGACGGGACGGGAGGTCTGCGTGTGCCATGGCCGCGGGGGCGGGCGGGATGAGCTCTGCTGGCCCAGGCCCGGGCCGGCCTGGCCTGCTTTGTGGAGTCAGGAGCGGGCCGCGGCTCGCCTCAGGGCGCCTCGGCCCCGTCGGGTCTTGCTGCGGGGCGGGCAGGTGGGGGTAGGGCCGCCAGCTGTGTGGGGTGGTCCCTCCCCAGCTGAGGGCCGCTCCTCAGTGAGGCCTGTTGATGATGATCATCCTGAACGAGCGATGTACGCTGCTCCTCAGGAGCAGGAAAGCTGTCTGCCTCAGCTGTAGGCTCGCAGTGTTGGAGGGGATGATGGGATCTGTAGCTGCACTTCACACCTGATATTTCCAGTTCATTCATGCTGGGTGTGGGCAGTTCTGCTCTTCCACATTTTTTGAGTAAGGTAGATCATCTTCAGAAGTTACTGTGCATCCTTAGTTTTGTTTGGTGCTGATTTCTGCGTGTGTCTCTTAATAATGATATTGTTAAGTCATAAGCGTATGTAACAAAATATGCATGTCCTTGTACTTTTTTTTTTTTTTTTGGATGGCATAATGTAGTAAGTGCTTTGTTTTACTGGTTTATATTTTGGTGTGTTGTCACAGCCTTCCGATGGAGATAAAAGCAGTTGTCAGAAGATATGAAACAAGAAATAAGACAGCAGGAACAGAACTGTCATCATCCAAATCCCGAGTTGATTGGAGACGTACTAAAAGGGAGCTCATACTACTTGACAGCAATGACGAATCCTCAGGTACCTCTGAGGAGGAAGAACCTACTGCATCAGAAGATGAAGCAGACGAAAAAGATGAAACTGTTGTGAAGAACAGCCTTTCAGATCAGGAAGAGAAAAGCCACGATGGGGAAGTAACAGAAGATGGTGAGGATGAGTACATTGTGCCTGGGAAGCGTAAAAGGTTGAACACCTCTGTCTTGTATGACAGCGATGAAAGTGAGGACAGTGATATACTTGTTAGAAAAGTTTTTGCTAAACGCCAGTGTATAATGGATGAAGATGAGAGTTCCGAAGAACAGCAACCTGATAAAACCTGCCCTGCAGAAAATGTTTCTACTAATAGGAAACAGAAAGTATTTGCAAAATTGAAAGAACTTGCAAGACAAAGAGCAACTCGGAGATCCTGCAGCAGTGAAAATTGTGAGGTCTGGGTTTTATCTTTGAAATTCAACTGGAGAAAATGCTGAATGTAGGGGAAGGTGAAGACTAATAGATCCAAACCAGTGGGATTTTATTTATTTTACTTTGTTTATTCATAACAAGTCAGTAGTTCTGTCACATTTTAACAGCTGTCATGTTAACTAGACAACAATATTGACTGCTGAAAACCTTTATCTTGAGTTTAATTTTAATCACTGAGGATTTAAGAATTTCCTTTCATTTGCTCTTTCAGGCATTCTGATGGCTAAGCAGCTTAGAATGCAGGTATCTATCTTCTCTACATAGTCAGAAAGGAAAAACTTCTTTATTATTCCTTTTTTTTCCGTAAAGAAGAGATGCATGGAAGGACTATCAAATGATTTTTATAAAGAAGCAAAATGCCTGCTGAAGTAACTTAGAGATCTCTTGTTAGCTTAATTCCTACAAAACGTCTGAAGAGAGGTACATGGAGATGGCTGATTTAAAGCTGAAAGTAATTATCATGTAGTACAGAATGATGTATTTTTTGGAAACATATTATTTCTTGTTAATTGAATAAATGGTGTTATTAGAAGGTCAAAAATCTTACCCAGTGTATGTAGTATTTCGTCATTGCAAATACTGAAAATTCTTGTGTTTGAAATCCTTTTTAAAATTTAATTAGGATTCTAATGATGAAGCAGAAATAGAAGAGGAACCACTCTGTCACTTGCCCCTCACACCAACAGAAGGTAGTGAAACTGACAGTGACAGCATGAAAGATTTTATAGTAGAAGAAGAGGAAGATGATGATGACAGCACAGAGCACGTAAAGAGTGAAAACCAGCCACAACAGAAGGAACTAAATACATCAAATAGCGAGTTGCTGGCATACTACGTCCCACACTGTAAGATCAAAATTGGTGACAGTTCTATATGTATAACTTGCTTGTAGTGCTATAATAAATATTAATGAACTGTAAATATAAATACTGTGTAATAGGATATGATAGTTTAAAAGCAGATTCCTAAAAGTCTTCAATTTATTGTGGAAGTACTCTGTTTTCCACAGTGAACTTTTACAGTCTTTCTGTGTATTATTAAAAGGAGGGTATAATTTGGGTGGAAGGAGGGGAAACCCTATTGCACAGATTAAGTTGGTCTGATTTAGGATAAAGTAGGCTATCTGTGATGCAGTCATTCCTGTGGAGACCTAAAAGCATCATCCTCCATCTTCTGATATAGGCTAAGAGCAGCTATGTTAATTCTGGCCAAATTCTGTTCTGGAGAGTGATGTAAAATTCTTGCCGTGAGTTTGCGTTTTTTGGGGCTTGTTTGGGTATTTTGCCTTTTTTTTTTTTCTTTGATGTATTTTTATTCCATGGTGGTGAGACTTGGGAGCACAGGTCTATAGGGGTTTCTGAATTCATTGGTCAATTTCAGCCAAACTGCACAGAGGGAGAAAACTTTTCAAGTTGATCTTTTATGAAAACTGGTATCTGGATGGAGCAGGGAGATTTGAAACAGAACTGTATGCTAGTTATCTTCTTACGTATTTTGTTGTTCAGAAGCAGGTATGTACTGACTAGACAGTTGGTGCTAGTGTAGATGGTCGCAAGCATTTGTGGTATTTCTTCCCCAGTAAAGACTTGAGCAGAATTGTGTGTACTTGAAAGAAAGTTAAAAAAAAAAACAAACCAGACAAAAAACCCACACATAAGCCTGGCCTTCTCTGGTTTGCATTATTTCCTGCTATTCATAGAACAAATTATTCTCTTCTTTTGGTGTTTGTAGCTCTTACTGTGGGTTCTTCTTGCTGAAAGGACGTGTGACTTTAGGATGCTAAAATTCATTAAGATCATTGGGATGAGAAGCACTATGTAAAGGCAAGGTCTTCAGGGTGTGGATGTTGTATATTGAAATTATTTTTAAAACCATATTTAAATTACTTCAAAATTCTAAATTTACAATAATGGAAAAAAAAGAATTCTTCTTACAGGACTTTCAACATTGCTTACTTTTGTTGTTGTTGTTTTGGTAAATTCTGGTTATATTGCTTTCTTCCCAGTATCTCGCTGTGATCATTATGTACACTTCAAAAGAATAGTAAAGGCTTTCCTCATAAATGCAATTGATGACACTTTTCTGAGCTCATTGTATGGTAAGTAAATTGCATTAAATAATATAATAGTGCCTTCAAAAGTTACACAAAGACATTTATTCTAGAGAAAGATGTGTTTCCTGATTAGAGTATAGGACTGTGAGTCCTGAGATCTGTTCTTGGTTTTGCTGCTCTGTAACTTTGGGGCGGGGGGGGGGAATCTATCTGAAAAGGATAGAGTAATCTTGGAAAAATGTGTAGACTTAATTCTTTTAAGCCTAGAAGGCATTCTGAGGGAAGTGTTTGTGTGTTACTAATCAGTAGTAACAGTTCCAGCATGAAAGTGAAATTAACTTCAAAGTAGATAATGAAAACATTGCAAGGTCAGCTGATTTGTCAAAATGTCACGTGCTTCATAGCTTTTTCTGAGGAATTTGATAGATAATAAATAATTTTATTTATGGAGATTACTCCATATCTGATTTTTTTTCTTTTTTTTTTTTTAACATTTGTGCAATTTCAGCTGCAGTCAGTACTTGTCTTGTTCTTGCTGAGGAGGTGCTTTTTGGCATTTGGCCTAGTGGGGCTGAATGGCAACTTCACGTGTAGTTTCAGAAGCACTGTAAAGAGGGGATTAATGGGAGGACTGTCAGTGTCAGGTTGTGGAAGGAGCAGGCAAAGTGCCAAAGGGAGGAAGTTTTGGTGTCATCAGGAACTAAGAGGGAATGAAGAAACTGAAGTACCCCACAGACTTCAGAAAAAAGGCTGCGTATTCCTGGAGCTAAAAATTTCTTTCATCTGCCTTTGCTAGGTCTCTCAGGTGTTAGTTTTGTTTTGTTTTACCAACTGAAAACAAGCTTATGAAAAGTCATAAGTAAACTTTGCCAGTTCTGTGTTGTAATAGCTTCCTTCTATTTCAAACTGTATCTGCTCTACAAAACTAACAACTTCTTGCCAAGGTGCTAGAAGTAGATCAGCTATGCAGGTGAGTTCTATCTTTCTGAAGAACATTGTATATTATGAACATAGCCTAGCATTACAAAGATATATTTTTTATAACACAGAATGGATTTTTCTGAATTAATGGAAGTGAATCTCTTAATTAGTTTGAATCAAGAGCAGCTACTTTAGTAATAGAGTTCAGACTTGTCTTTTATTGTGAGGGACAATAAAACAGCCTCTTCAAGCTTTTAGTATAGCTCACTTACTGAAAATGTGTGTAAAGTGTATATGGAAAAACAGTTAATTGTAATTATGGTGGCTATAATGATAATGACAGTTAACTGGTTTTATATAGAAAGCTAGATAGCCAGTGGTCCTCCTCGGTTCTGTTTGTTTGATAACAGCATTGCTAAAAGACTAGGGAAGGTAGCTGAATTTATTTGTATGTCTCTACCTGCTGAAGCTTGAGACAGTATGAATTGGCCTGCACCTATGAAAGTCCTGTTTAATTCCTGCAATCCAGCACGTACTTGGGAGACAGTTGTGGAATAGCGGTAGTTTTACTCATCCTCATACTTGTTTATTTCTTTTGCTTGAGTAAGTATTTGGAAGTACTTACACTGCCTAACTCAAGGCATCTGACTGTGCTGCTGAAGTGTAAAGGTCAGTTGCTTTGTGTTCTTTATAAGTGATGAAGAGAGTTGTCAAAATTTCTGCTGTGAAGCAGCTCAGAGCAGTTTGTTTTCATGGATTGCAACCTACTCCCTTATACATTATGAACAGCTTAGATAAACTGGACAAAAAGCTTTTTTTTTTTTCCCCTTTTCCATTCTTTTAAATGAGATCAAGTGAATGGGTCTCCATTTGGGACGACCCATTTACTTTAACCTTGATTGTAGAGTTTATTCATGTACCTCTTGTGATACAGACTTTTAAAATAATTAAATGTATCAGTTTATGAAAGATGCATGGATCACTTTTATGGATAACAGTAGCAAATGTATTCAGTAATAATTTATTAAAATCATTCATAGTTCTTAGTATGCAGAAGCATAATGTCGTTGAAAATTTTATTTGAAGAAACTTGTACAACATGGGGTGGTCAGCAAATTAGTAATGACTCTCACTGAACAGATGGAACAAGACAAAAGAAGTATGCGCAAGATATGTTGCTCTCACTTCATTATTTGGATGACCGCTTCATTCAGCCTCGTCTTGAGAACTTAATCTCTAGAAGTCGCTGGAAGGATCGATATAAGGTATGTAACTTCTACTTCAAATAGTGAAGTCGGCTCCAAATCATATTATTAGTGACAGATTTTTTTTTTTTATACTGTAATTCTCAGTAAAGGTACAATAATTGCTATAATTATATATACTTTTTAAATAGAAACTCATTGTTCTTTACCTTATGTAACTTGTTTTGATGCTTATAAATATTGGAAGTATTTTATGTGTTTATAACCAGATAAGCGTTCAGGTAACAGAACAGAATCTGTTCTCAGTTACCTGAATGCTTCTTCTGCTAACTTCAGCAGATAACTTTTTGAGGATTTTTTTGTGACTTGCTAAATGTTATAACAAAATTTCTTCCTCCTCCCACAAAAAGATAAACCAATATGTTCATAATGAACCTTCTACTACTTCAAAAAAAATGAAGTCAATATACAGTAACCTAGTCATTGTATGCAAATTACTAGAATAGTATTAGTGTGATAGGTGTGGCGATCTAATAATCACTGTAATAATGGAGTATGGCCAGTGGAGAGATACAGTGTATTTATTTGAAGCAGACCAACTGATACAGTTCCACCCCCGCCCCCTCCAAAAAAAAAAGAGATGAAAGAAAAATAGTGCCATGATGCGGGAGCCATTCTTTAGGTCTGAAGCCGAAAGAAAGAATTAATGAACTAGAACTGAGTGAAGTGTTGGAAAATGACTGAAAAGGTGTATGTTCGCAACTGAATGGTGAAAGCCTTGAGATTTTAATCTCTTTGGTTTCTCTTGCACTAATTTTGTGTGAGTGCAGAGTACTCAGCAGCCTATTTGAGGCATCTTTCAGTTTACGGAGATTCTTTAATGTTATTTGAAATCTGTTTTTCAGGAGCGTGTGGATTGTTACCCAGACGTTCGCATTATCTTGAAAAATCCAAAAAATATGTCTTGTCAGGCCTGTGAATTGAATCGGTATTGTAAGTTTAATGTGCTGCTCTCTGGAAAGCTTTATAATAGTAGAACTTTGGAAGCAGATGACTTCATGTCAGATGACAAGCAGGTAACTTAAAACAAGCACCCTATATAATTATTTTTAAGCTTTGTCTAGTGTTACAGAAAATCATACAAAGAATAGAAATCCTATCAACACATCTAATGTCTATAATGCTAGATGCAAGAGTTAAGCTACTGTACTTCCATGTCTAAACCCTATTAGTTTTTAAAATATGAGGACCATTTTGCAGTTTGGAGGAGTATAGTCTTGGATTTAGCCAGGAATTATGAAGGAAGTTCCTATGAAACTTAAAAGGATGAATAGAGGCATTCCCCTCCAACCCTCCCCATCCTTTCTTATATGTTGGGAAAGAGGTAATGAAAAGTATCCTCAAATAAACCTAACTTTATCAAGAAAATAAATCTGATATTTTTCTGTGGCCTTTGTTTTTGCCTGCATCACAATGATCGGTGTGCTGTTTCCTCCCCACTTTTGCCACTTAATATTAGTACCTGATGCAGCACATGTACTTGCACTGCAGTAAGTGCTCATAAGTATACCCAACCATGAGATGGACTTCATGATATAAAAGATAAAGGGCTGTAAGGCATATGATAGGGTTTATTGATAACTCTTGCCCTCAAGTCAAAATTGATATTTGCCTCAATTTGTCCTCTGCTTCAAATCTCTGCAGTCTGAGTGTCATCCAGGGCAAGAAGGAAACTAGGTACATGGCATCCTGCACCTCCTCCTCAGCATGCTTGTCTTTTGTGGTGCATGGGGAGGCAGTCTGAAACTATGTGTCAAAGAGGCTGATGGCACGCATGAAGATTCACATACTAACCAAAGTTCTAAGATGAGCACTCGATCAGTTATTTCTAAAGTAGCTTTTTGTTTTGTCAGAGAACATTTAATAGAAGATTGAAAATCCTAAAGTGAATACAGATCTTAAAGAAAGGAAAACCAGTGGTAAAGAAATGACATGACTGAGTGATGCTCTGAACATGCCTGGCGTTCCTGGTACCTGAGGAATACTATGATTTTTTTTTTAGATTAGATTCTATCTCCGTATGCCAGGAGTCTGAGGCTTTAAATCAGGAATGACATTTGCCTCAGATTTACATATATCCTAAATATCAGAAAGCCTTTTCACTGAAATTAGATCACTTGAAAGCCCTTTACCTTTGTGTGTGCCTATAATGCCCTTAAGACTTTCCCAACAGGAATCTTGCATTGATTAGCTTTCAGAAACATTACAAAAGTAACTTTCTGTATAATGGACAATCATCTCCATTGACTGATTTTGTTTTCTATTTTGTTGCAAGTAAGATTTGTTCTACATTGGGTCACTAGGTTTGCTAAGTCTGTGCCTACTATGCCTCTAGCATTTGGAGCATCCATGTGCACTCCAACAGTTCTTGTTTGCTCTGGGTCAGAACGTTGAGTGAAATAGTGCCACTATCATTCTCATAGTCCAAGTGCAGCCTAGTCAGAATTTAATGCTTCTTCCTTCAGATTTTTTCACATCTCCTATTTCCCATGTAGCTATTCATTCAGGACAAAGTATCTTGACATCTAAGTTGCATTGACACTTGAAATTGCTGATGTCCTTTTGAGAAGACTTATTCCTAACTACGTCAATGCATTTTATTAGAACCCTTTTCTCATTACTGCATTATCAGAAGTACTTGTCCAAACTGGAAAACATTTCCATTTAGGTAGTTTTGCAACTTTTTCTCACTCAGTTGTCTCTACTAGGACATTTTGGATTAAATTATATTTTTGGAATGAAACACATCTTTCATGTTGTTACATGATGTTGCACTAGGCAGTCATTTTAGATGACTTGAGCAGTCAATTTTGTTGTATTTCACAGCTGAGACTTTTGAAGACCTTGACTCTTAAGAACCTGGGTGTTCCTAATATTTAGGGATCTTCCCTTCAAATTTACAGCTACCAGTAATTGTTATGATTAGGTGTGCATATGACCTTCTTAAGTAATGTAATTCATGACCTCTTATGATAAACTCAAAGCACACGATTTGTCAAGAATAAAATATTGATACAGTTGTGTACCGAGCTGATATCCAAGTTCTGCCTTTCTTCCCTTTCAGGAGCTGTAGAAGGTATACTCCTTTTCTTTGTGAGTGTAAAAGTATTTTTGAATACAGCTGAAGTTCCTCACAGTATTTGCTGAAAAGAAAAAAGTGTCAGAACAAGTTGTATTTACAATATATTTTGAAATGCGGTATAATAGGTTTTCTTATACAGAAACCAAAGTGAAGCCCTCATCAAACTGGAAGTACACCTTGCTGAAGCTCAAGCCTATATTGTTTGGATCTTTGCAAGTATTGTAACTGTGCTGGTTTTGGCTGGGATAGAGTTAATTTTCTTCACAGTAGCTAGTATGGGGCTATGTTTTGGATTTGTGCTGAAAACAGTGTTGATAATACAGGATGTTTATGATGGCCATAAAAACTGTGATGGCCAGCTGATGGGACACCCACGTGGTGCTTAGTTGCTGGTTGGGGTTAAACCATGACAGTCTCATCTCCCAGAGGTGAGAAACAGCACCACAGGGAATACATACTGCAAGTGAGGATTTACATAATGCAACCATGTGAACGAATAAAACAACATTGTGACCAGTGACTCTTAAACTAATATAATGAAAGCTTATAAAAAATTTATTTTAACACACTCTGGTCAGATCTGTCGTTATCTCGAACCCTTCAAGCCCCACGTTGGGTGCCAAAAAGAACTGTCGTCGTTTAATGCCAGCTGGCAACTAACCCCCACCCAGCCGCTCGGTTACTCCCCCCCAGTGGGATGGGGGAGAGAATCAGAAGAGTAAAAGTGAGAAAACTTGTGGGTTGACATAAAGACAGTTTAATAGGGAAAGCAAAAGCTGTGCGCGCAAGCAAACCAAAACAAGGAATTCATTCACTCCTTCCCATCGGCAGGCAGGTGTTCAGCCATCTCCAGGAAAGCAGGGCTCCATCACGCGTAACGGTTACTTGGGAAGACAAACGCCATCACTCCAAACAGCCCCTCCCTTCCTTCCTTCTTCCCCCAGCTTTATATTACTGAGCATGACATCATAGGGTATGGAATATCCCTTTGGTCAGTTTGGGTCAGCTGTCCCAGCTGTGTCCCCTCCCAATTTCTTGTGCACCCCCAGCCTACTCGCTGGTGGGGTGGTGTGAGAAGCAGAAGAGGCCTTGACTCTGTGTAAGTGTCCTGGTTTCGGCAGGGATAGAGTTAATTTCCTTCCTAGTAGCTGGTACAGTGCTGTGTTTTGGATTTAGGGTGAGAACAATGTTGATAAGGCACCGATGTTTTAGTTGTTGCTAGGTAGTGCTTACACTAGTCAAGGACTTTTCAGTTTCTCGTGCTCTACCAACTGAGAAGGCTGGAGGTGCACAAGAAGCTGGGAGGGGGCACAGCCAGGACAGCTGACCCAAACTGGCCAAAGGGATATTCCATACCATGTGACGTCATGCTCAGTATATAAAGCTGGGGGAAGAAGAAGGAAGGGGGGGACGTTTGGAGTGATGGCGTTTGTCTTCCCAAGTAACCGTTATGCGTGATGGAGCCCTGTTTTCCTGGAGATGGCTGAACACCTGCCTGCCGATGGGAAGGAGTGAATGAATTCCTTGTTTTGCTTTGCTTGCGTGCGCGGCTTTTGCTTTCCCTATTAAACTGTCTTTATCTCAACACACGAGTTTTCTCACTTTTACCCTTCCAATTCTCTCCCCCATCCCACTGTGGGGGGAGTGAGCGAGCGGCTGTGTGGTGCTCAGTTGCCAACTGAGGTTAAACCATGACAGTAAGCACTGCTCAGCAGTGACTAAAACATCCTGTATTATCAACACTGTTTCCAGCACAAATCCAAAACATAGCCCCATACTAGCTACTGTGAAGAAAATTAACTCTATCCCAGCCAAAACCAGCACAATAACTTAGAGATTTGAGGGGTGTCAGTGTGATTATCATTATGTCATCATATTGGGCTCTGTGTGTAATGCAGAATCTAGGAAAATCTGTGTCACAGTTTTTCTTAAATAGATTACAGACCCTTCTGAGCAGCAGTTGTTAATACTCTGTTTTGATAAGTCTGTGTGTGCATGATAGTCAAGAGAGCTAGGCTTTTCCAGCAAGGCTTTTCTTCTTGTTTATTGCAGGAAAACAGTAAGTCCTTGGCAATCATACTAGCACTGATACTGCAGTCCATCATATAGTCATTCTTCCTTATATAGAATCATAGAATCATTAAGGTTGGAAGAGACCTCCAAGATCATCGAGTCCAACCGTCAACCCAGCACCACCATGCCCACTAAACCATGTCCCTAAGCACCTCATCTATGGGTCTCTAAACGTAGATCACTAATTTAAAACTTTTCAGTTTTTCATAGGAAGTGTGTGCCTTGCCTAACCAGAAATAAGTGAACTAGCACAAGAATTTAATCTTTACTCAAATTCCAACTTAACTGTGGAAATAACAGTAGCAATTCCCTCACTGCTGTCCAAACGTTGTCCTACATAAAGCATTGGCTATTCTTCACTTTGGAAAAAACTTGAAATATCCTACTGAATATTGAACTAACTTGCTAGTTCATTTTTGTTCTCTTCAGCTTAACAGCAGAAAATGAGAGCTTTTTTTACCCTGTGTACCCCAGCATCTGGTGAGATGCCTGTCATGTGCATGCTCAATATAGCTCAGGGGATGTAGAACAGACCCAGGAGAGAGAGTTATTGAGCACTTTCCGGTAATTTTTTATAGTGCCTTTGTAATGCAACATTTGTGTTCTTATGGTGACCTTTAATTTAGACTGCTAAAGGTACTGTTCTCAAGTAGTCTTTGAAGTTCTGCTGGCAGTGCGTTGATCAACTTGCCCTGCCAATTGAGAAAAAAGGAAGGAGGAAAAAAGAAAGGAGGAAAAAAGAAAAAAGGCACACAGAGCTACACAAAACTGGCACTTCAAGAACTTAATTGACTGAAAGAGGAGGCAGTTCAGCACTGACAGATCAGATTGAATGGAAACATGTAGTTGAACTATTTTCTAAAGTTTTATTTGAAAATACCCGAGAAAAGTGGATGTGGAGAGAACAAAAACAGACCTCCAACCCTCTTCTTCTGCATAAAACTTTCCTTTTCTCTCATCTCTGAAATATTCTGCTTTGCCAGTAGAAAGAGAAGAGAAACAGCTGTTCCAGTTTTGCTTTGGCTTGCAATGATTGTTCTGTGTGTAGCTGCCAATTCTCATTCCTCCGTGGTCAGGGAGAATGGAACGGTTTAGAGGTATAGGTGTGCCCCACGCTTCTTCGCTCCTGTGTCACCTGGATTATAAACTGTTTTCTGCTCTCAGTCTTGGTGTTCTACTTCCGTTTATAATCATGTTCAGAGGACATGGATTCAGTCACTACATGCTGTGCTATTGTCAGGCTATGCTCCTGCATTCCATACAAAGTGATTTAACACAACTTTGGCTGATATGGCCAGCTTGAGTAGATAAGTTAAGCATTAGGACAGAGTCCCTGAGAACCGTGAGAGGAAAAAATTAGAATGAGTACAGTACTGAGATTCTTTCCAAAGCTGCATTCTGAAATAGCATTGTATTTTTAGACAATCTTTCTTGCTTTAAAAACAATACCTAATTACATTATACGATATTTAGCTATTTGCCTCTGGCATCTCTCCAGCGTAGAAATACTTTACACTTCGCACATAAATGAACTATGAAACTCATTGCCACAAGATACTTTGGAAGCGAAAAGTGTTAGTGGGTCCCAAAAGGGATTAGACAGGTTCTTGGGGAAGCTTCTTCCACACTATGGAACATGATAGTGGGGATGATACAGACGGTCTTAACTGTTGACTGCTAGAAGCTGTATAGTAATGTTATGATCGTTCTGGTGTTTGTTCTGCATCTTATACTAACTTCCTAAATATCTCCTGCTAGCTGTTGTCGCAGGGGAAGAACTGGGCCATCAGTTTGATGCAAGACGGTATCTCCTGTTTTACATCACATAATGTTCCAGATAACTGCCGCACCTCATTGCTTGGGATACTTGAAAAGTCATGAAATGCTCTATGGAACACCGCAGCTCAGTTCTTGATTGTTTAAGTTTTTTAAATGGTACTTCTGGAAATTTGAATCAATCAAGGTTATGTACTGGTTGGTAGGTCTTGCACTTCAGAAGCATCTATAGCACCAAACACAAGCCTTAGCTTTTCAGTTTTGGGAAGAGTAGAAAATGGAGCTGCGTATAGGTACATGTACATGATCAGTAGAGAATTGCAATATAGTAAGAGGAATTTTTTATCTCAAGATGGTTAAAATTTCAGTTAACCATCTACTGTAGGTGAGATCAAAAGTTAAGTGAGTGTGTCTCTTGACTTCAGTGATATTATGCCTGCTTATATCGGTTGAGCCGCTGGTTAATATATTTAAGAAATTAAGTCTATTCATATATTTAAGAAAATATATAAATAATACATATAAATATAAATTCAGTTTATATAATCTTTATAAATAAAATATGCTTTCTGTTACTGTCATTGTCAGTAGATACTGCTAGTGCTAGGTTGTACAAGTAGGTCAGGTGTTTTGGGGAACTGCTCACAGATGCAAACATTTGGTCATGCATTCGGAAAAGCTTCCTGAAAATGTGGGTTGTAAGCATCGATTAAAACTTAACCTTCTCATAATTTAAAAGAGTATTCAGATTATTACCAATGGCAGCGATAAAGGGTATCACTGTTGTGGCTCAGAAGAAATCATTTTGCAATATATAACATGGTTGTTTTTTTGATATATGTGTGTATAATCTGAAATAGCAATACAATTGCAGCTTGCATTACTGATGCAAAGAACTTTGTCCTTTAGCTATTTACCTGCTTGTTACTCGCAAAAGTGTGACAAGACATCAGTCAAACAATGCTGCCCTTGAAGGATACATTGAAGGGGATTTTTTTTAGTAAAACTAAATCAGTGTCTCCTGTACGTACCAGGAGCTGAGTTTCTTTACACACGTTATTAATTACGTTGCTTTTGAGTGTAGAAAACCTGACCTCCGAAAACCAGCCAGATGTAGATTTCTTGCCTGTTAGGCTTTGTCTCCATGGGTTGGAGTAGTAATCGGTGCACCTGTGGGTCATTTACAAGGGATAGATTCCTCTTCTGATTTGCCATTGTATGTACTTGAACTACTTCTCTTGTAGAAATGGAACAAAGCTTACTCTTGTGAAACACAGGATGTCCTTAAATGCAGATGAACTTTGACTCTTTCTCCCTCCCCGCACCTCCAATTTCACATACTCTTAGTGAAGATTAGGATTGCCAAAGATTCTTGTAACCAATACATTACTCAGTATTTTCAGGTAAACACCTTCACCGCTTAGCATCTTTGTATAAAATCTCAGTTCAAGATACGTGCAAATACTTGCCTGTATTTAATGTTAGTGCTGATAGATGAGAATGAATCTACTCTAATCCATGCTCTGATTATGTATTTACATGTGTATTTACCATTTGTTTATCTATAAATACTGCTGTAAAGAAAACTGTTAAATAAGACAGTTCTGTCTTTTCTGCATGGAAATTGTAGAAGTAAAACAGGTAATAACTGGGAGATGCAGAGGCTTTGATTTCTACAGCATTACGGCCTAGCTATACATCCCAGACAGTTGCAGATTAACATTTGCATTGTATAAAACCTTGGTTTTCAGATTTTATTTTTATGAAATCCAATCTCTCTATATATTTATTAAATATATATTTCTAGGCATATGTCTATTTGTATTCATATGTATTTCTTGAAGAAATGTTGAATATGATTCAGTCTACAAAACGCTAGAACTGGTATTTCATGTCCCTAGGAAGTAGTACATATTAAGCAAAAGTAATCAAATAATTTCTCTTCCTCTGCTTTCACAATATGATGGTTGTCTAAAATGTTAGTGATTTTGTAACAAAGTTCCACCAGGAGATAGGAAATACACTACCAATTATAAACATGGTTGTGTTTGCAAGAAAACGGTACTGATAAGCTGCCATTGCATAGACTTGCTGGCTGCCCGCTTGCTCAAAAATTGTTCTGTGTGGCTGTGAAAACTACGTGGTTTTGCGCTGATTTTATGCATGTAGTGCCATTCTGTTTATTTCATTATTCAAAAAATCTACCTAGACTGACTGATAAAATCTTGCTAGACTGACTTAGCCATTCTTTATATTGTCAAGATAATCACAGTTCTATCAGAGAGAATGATTTGTTCACTTTGGCCTAGGTTTTGAAGGTTGGCATGGTGTGTGCAAATCGTACGAGAGTTTATCATCATTTGAAGCACTTCAAATACAAGTTGTATGTGGATTGCAGCTCTGTTGCAGAGTTGGATGGTGTTGAGGATGAACCAGTCAAAGACACAGTCGAACGGCTTTTCAGCCAGTTGGAAGACAGTGGGTGGATTCAGAAGGTACGACTGAGTTATTTCATGTATCCTTTTCCAAGCAGATAAAAGGAAGCTGAAATAAAATGTCTGGTTTAATTGATCAGTTCTGAATTACTGGGCTTCAGTAATATAACTCGGCTTAACCATTCATCCACTTCTGCTAACCCAGTCTCTCAAACAGTGGTACGCTGCTGCGTTCACATAGAGTTTGTGTCAACTTTTGACATGAAGCTTTTTGACAGCTGCATGATCTCTGGGCTGTGGTGGGCAGGCTCCTGTTTCATTTGAAAGCAGCAACACAACAAACTCAAGCTGTAACTTAGAAAGACTGGAAACGTGTACGTGAGGCACAGCAAGAATATTTTACTCTTCTGTTTACGCTGAAGTACTTTGAATTATTCAGAAACATTTTATGAACTATTTTAAGACAACTTGTAGGACAATTGCATTTAGAAAGCTTTCAGATATCATTGCTTCTGAATTGTTATTGGCATGCTTGTTAACGTATTGAAGAAAAAGAAAAAGCAGTCTTTATGTAATTCAGTTATTAAACATTGATAAAATAATACAGGTTTTATTTTACTTGCAGAGATACGATGCTCTTGAAGACTACATGAATGACGCAGACAGTTTCCAAGAAGAGAAAATGGATTAAGTGGTCATACAGCTCTTTGAAAGACATCTTGTAAAAATTTGAATGGCCTGCTTTATCTGCATGCACTTTATCTCTGCTTGGTCTTCAATATTCTTTTTAGGCTGTGTTATACTTAAATCCATATACCTTTAAACTACTGTTTGAGAATGTGCTGTATCTTTTTTTCTCATCTGTGTCAGTAATAACCCAAAGTTTTACCAAATTAGTCCTTCCAGTCTTACTGCATAGGTCACTTTAAGTTTCCTTCTGTTCTTAAGAATAACATCTCAATATCTGTTTGCTTGTGAAATAAAACTTCCACCTGTTTATATTGAGCTGCATCATAGGGAAGGTAGGAGATGCTAAGACCTTTTGAAGTAGGTATATTTGGAAAGGTAAGACTATGTTACACAAGAATGTGTGACTTGCATCTTACCTTCCTTGTTGCTCGTTCTATGCAAGTAAGTCCAACCATTTAGAATGATAGTTACAATAAACAGGACCCAAATGCAAAGATCTATTTCCCCTCTGAGGAATCAGTATAGCCTGTTGCAAGGCAACAGAGGAAATATTCTGCAGTTCTGACTACATAGGCAGCGCAGTAGTCATTCCTCTCTTTAGAGAGTAGGTGATGAGTCACATTACAGGCGTCATACAGCCTGAGTCTGGCTTAGCCATCTAAATGAACACTTGGGCCCACTGTGCTGTCTCTGATAAGCAGCTGGGGCAATTTAGTGAGATTTTAAACATCAAATTACGTTGTGCAAATGTAATGGCAACAACTTGCAGTAACTACAAAATTAAGAGAATGGATGAATGTGGGCAAGCAAGAATTCTTCCAGTGTAACTTAACAGAAAGTCGGAGTTACTCAGAATCATGATGCGTGGTTTACCTGAATTGCGTGAAGCCCAAATCAGAGTTCTTTGGGGCCAGGGGAGTAGATTTTTGAGGCGTTAGGAAGGGTTAAGTACTGTATTGTTCATTCTGAAAAATTGGACATGACCTGGCAATGTGCGCTCGCAGCCCAGGCGGCCAGTCGTATCCTGGGCTGCATCAGAAGAAGCGTGGCCAGCAGGTCGAGGGAGGTGATTCTGCCCCTCTACTCTGCTCTGCTGAGACCCCACCTGCAGTACTGCGTCCAGCTCTGGGGCCCCCAACATAAGAAGGACATGGACCTGTTGGAGTGAGTCCAGAAGAGGGCCACGAAGATGATCAGGGGGATGGAGCACCTTTCCTCTGAAGACAGGCTGAGAGAGTTGGGGTTGTTCAGCCTAGAGAAGAGAAGGCTCCCGGGAGACCTTATTGCAGCCTTCCAGTATCTGAAGGGGGCCTACAAGAAAGCTGGAGAGGGACTTTTTACGAGGGCATGTAGTGATAGGACAAGGGGTACTGGCTTTAAACTGAAAGAGGGTAGATTGAGATTGGAGATAAGGAAGAAATTCTTCACTATGAGGGTGGTGAGGCACTGGAACAGGTTGCCCAGAGAGGTGGTGGATGCCCCCTCCCTGGAAGTGCTCAAGGCCAGGTTGGACGGGGCTCTGAGCAACCTGATCTCGTGGAAGGTCTCCCTGCCCATGGCAGGGGGGTTGGACTAGATGATCTTTAAGGTCCCTTCCAACCCAAACCATTCTATGATTCTGTCCCTGTACTTTGTGCTGCATATAAAGTTAATTGGATGTAGCCTAAGATAAGATGCAGGGCACAGGGGTTTGAATCCAGTTAGGAACCTCCTGCTGTATGCACATACTCTTTTATTAGCCTTTTGTGGCTGAGCAACTTAGTGAAAGGGAAGATATTGTTAACACTCTAGATTCTTTTAACAAGTTGCTCTCTCAGAAGCAAAACTAATGAAACCTAATTTCTCATGGATTTGTCCATAAGAAATCCCCGTATTCGTTATGCCACTCTACTGGTAACAGATATGCTGATTGGCTAGGCAACCGCTGCCAGGTGTATCGCTTAATGGTGAGCATCTGTTGGCTTTTTTCCATAGGAACTGTACCTTAGATTTGTCATTCAGTACCCTTTTTGCAGCATTCATTGTAAGAAATGAACTGCTTTTATATTTTAAGGGGTTGAAATTCAGCAATGGTTTATATGCTATTACAATGAGCTAGTATCATCAGTTCTCCCTTGTACCACATACCGGTACAAGATTTACAAACCACGATGAAAAATACCAGTAAACAGGTTAAGACTTACTCTCAAGTAGGCTTATGTTGAAGACACTATTTCCATACCTTAACTGTGAGTTAGATATGTAAATATTCTGTGATTTGATATATCTTATACCTATCTCCCTGGTTACCAAAGCTGAAGGAAATCTTCTCTATTCTTCTTTCTTCATCCCTGTTCTTCTGGGAATATTGGTGAGAACACACCCATCAACTTAAAAGTACTCAGGAATCTGTCTCAAATATATCCCTTTTAGGAAAAGTAATGCCCCTTGATGCCCCACTTCCTTCTGTTAACAAAATCTCTGTACACTTTCGTTGGCTTCTCTAGAACAATAAAATAACATTTATGTTTGGTGTAACTATATTCCTACAAAGGAAAACCGCTCTGAAATAAATGAGTTTTGTACCACGTAATGGAGTATGCCCTCTCAGAGCCTTCCTGACTGGTCTTAATTTCTGCTACCTTCTGAATTTTCTGAAAACTCTCGAGACTGTATGATTTTTATTTTAAAATTTTGCTATCAAAATGAATGGTCGATTTCTCATTTTGCCACATTGAAACTGTTTGCTACCAAGTTAAAAAATAAGTTTGGGACATTTTGGCTTGCTGATTACTGATAATGCTTCAAGAATACATACATTTTGATTGAAAATGAAAAATTGGCAAATTGTTCAGTGATTAGTTTTACCCGTTTTTTGATACCTACCACACCCCAGATCATGTTTCTCACCTCCTCTTCATTCACCTAAAAAGAGTGAGCTATCTACTTCTTTCTCGTTCCTGCAGGCATTTTTTTCCAGTCTATGTTTTTCTGTCTCTAACAGGGATACAAAAGGATCCTGGTAGAGTTTCTTGGAAGAAAGTGCCTCCATAGGTTTACTAATCTTGTCTGTGGCATCACCAGTTGGACTAAGAAAATGCCTAGAATTGACATCACTGATTTCTATTTCAGTAGGAAACTGATAATTGATTTGGCTTGGCAGGGGCTGACGTAATATTTGTGTGTGTATAGTCTCTCTTAGACTTTGATATTCCCCTCGCTGAGATTGGAGGAAGTGATAATATTTTTGTGGCTGTTCTTTTACCTGAAGAGTTTCTACAAGACAGAGAATGTGAAGTATCATTACATCATGTTTACATTTCTCTACACCACAGGAAATGAAAAGATTGTTTAGAAGAGCCGTATATGTAAAAATTTAGATCAAATTTTCCAGGACAGGCTGTAAATGCTAGTACTTGTACAGCATGAAGTACAAAGAGGACTCTTACCCCCTGAGACTTTCTGAAGACCCCCTAAAATACTCAATAAGAATAGTTCTAGCAGAAAAATTTTGTGCAAATGTCTAATGATGGGAGAAATCAGAAATCTGACCAGTCTTTCATACATCCTTTTCCACATTAGAGAATTTGAGTGGAGTTAGGGGCTGAGAGAATATGTTTGTTCTGATAGGCCATTTTTAATTGTCTTCAGTGTTAATTTTTGAAGTAGTAGCTCTAATTAAGATAAAGTACCTGTCTTAATGGAACAATGAAGAGAGCTCAGTATGTGATTAGACGTGGCGCGGGTGATTAATGATCATACTTGGAAATTACTTTAGTTCCTGTAGTGTTTCGATAATCTGCTCTACTTTAAGCTCTGTAACTGGAGACTCTGATAGCGATAAAGTTCCCAAAAGGTATTTATGCACAGGATCAGGCTTACTAATGTGATGTACTTCTGGGAGAGGAGGCCCGTCTCGGTCTATATTCTATGTCCAGTTCTTGCAGTGGAGTATGAAAAGAAGTGATTTTTCTCCCCGTGTCCCGCAGTTTTTGGAAAGAAAGTCATTTGTGGATCAAGTGGGATGGTAAACTTTGCTAATAGTAGATAGCTGTTACTGTCATTTTTTCGACAGTGAAGGCTTCTCCTGTTTCCAAAAAGCAGCTATTTCTAGAGTTCAGCAG